GTGTGGGCAGTGACAGAGTGAGGAACAGAAATTCCATCATCTTTACTATTTCTCTCTCTCGTTACTGTTCTGTTTTTTCAATTCTCTTGCAGTATAAGTATGTGGGGGCTTTTGACTCAGTGGGGTTTTAGGGCTTTCAGAATCCTGTATTAAGGCAGTGTATTTACCAAGTATAAATGAGCTACTTGCAGAGTGAGCAAGTTTCCTTGCTCTCCTTCATTTGAGGCAGAATTGTCCCTCACAAATACAGGAGATCAGGTAATTTTCTATCTAATAACTATGTGCAATTCAACAGTGGATTTGTATAATCCAATGTATTAGGTCCCCACGAGCTTATAGTCAGAAAAAAAATTAGATATCTGTATGACTAGAGCCATATATTTTTCTCATATGAAATTTGACCACGGAACGATGACCATCCTGATCTACCATGCATTTGAATAACCACTGAGTTTACTCATTGGTTTAGAGTATCTATTATTTGGTATCTAGGTCCAGACCACATATGGCCAAGTCTTAAAATAACTGTCTTATCTAGGTATGTACCTCTTTTCACCTTGGGTTTTCTTTTCCCTTAGCAACTTCAGCTCCTTCACAGTCCTTTGACCCTGACTTTCTCCTTATTTTTCCTGAAGTGATTAGTAGGTATGGTTGTGTTTGTTTGTTTGTTTACTTTTTTATTTTTTTCAAATAAATCTGTGTCCTTATTGTGTCTCCTTGTTATTGCTACACAATATGGCAGGGTCGCCTGTTGGTAAAGGTTAAACAACAATATTTTGGTTAAATAAACCCCATTTATATTACTTGAGATTCTTAGCAAATGATAAAGAAAAAGATTTACATTAAAAATCCAAAGTAGAAACCTCTTTCCCATGTATCTAAACAGTTTTGATATATAGAAATTTAGATACTGAACACATATAAAGGAGATTGAGAGAGTCCTTAATGTTCCCTATGTATTTGTCATTCTAACAATAAAATTTGTACACAGCACAGAACATAAAGATTTCAGATAACCACAAATGGACAGGAGAACAGACATCAGAAGTAACATGTAAGAAACAGTCTCATTCAGGCTGATGCTCAGGATGACAGGTACCTCGAGCTGGTGCAGGTTCTGGCTTTTTTGGTACAGTTACAGGTATGGACTCTTCCAGAACATCTTTCTTGGGCACCTTAGACACTTCAAAGATATTAGTGTATTTTAGCTTTGTGGCCACTACAGTTGTGTGCAAAACAATAAGACAACCAATAACATATGCACATAGACTTCTTTGAGAAAGTCTGTGGTTACATTCAGTCATCAGATATACTTTGCTTCAAACAAGTGGAATGACCAGGGTGTCAAATACGTCACACAGGAGACAGGACTTCTGTGTGTAGTTTCTGTTCCTCAGTCAAGGTGGAAATGTAGAAAGCATTTGCCCTCTTTGTAACAGCTGGCCAGAAACTTATTTATGGAATCTTACTGTATTTAAACATCAGTCATCTATCATTCATGACTGTGTGTTCTGTGCTGGTTTTGCCAGTCACTGTCATCTTTACACTTGTCACTTGGTTATTAACACTTTTTATCCTTCAAGTTCACTTACTCTTTGTGTATTGGTATGTTTCCTCCCTTTTTTACTTTACAGATTCTTTCCTGAAACAGCTAAGACTTCCATTTTAATCACTAGATATTTCCTATAAATGTTTCCTGTTACATTCATTTAAATTATTTCAGTGCTTTAGATATCATCACTGTGAGGTGGTATTTCACCTGAGGAATGTCCTTGTGTTTCAGATGGAGAGAATCTGGTGGCACAGAGAATTTCTACTTCTGTGGTCAGTGCTTTGTACAGTAAATGAAATGATGCAGCACTATAATCATCTCTGGTATGTACAGATTTAGAGTATCTTAAATAATTTTTTAGCATTTCAGTTTAAAAATCTCCTATCCTGATTAATCTGCAAGAATAAATACTTCTTACAAGGCTCAGTGAATTAGGTGTTCAAGGGAAATTTACATCTCTGGTGCTATTCGTACCATGTAACAACAAAATGGAGAATGTTGATACATGACCGAAATAGAGGCAAATTATAATTATTAAAGAAAAGATTCTGCTCCATGGTGCTACCAATGGCAACACAGGTACATAGACATACTTGCAATTATTTTTCTTTACGTACAGAAACCTCTACTCTCTGCTGGAACTTTCAGTTTCTCCTTAGTTTGTCCCTTCTGATAGAATCATTTAGGTTAGAGAAGACCTTTATGATCATTGAGCCCAACAGTAAACATAACGCTGCCAAGTCCCACTAAACCATGTACTAAACCATCCCTAATAACACTGTGTAGAACAGTTAATACCTTCATTTTCCTAGCATACATAAAGTTTTGGTATTATTGGTAGGCAGGAATTCATCATACCTGCTTAATTTATTGCTATAGCCTAAAAAATAAACACTTACCTCCTGAACTTTTTGAATAATAAAAACCTCCAGTAAAACAAATCTTGTATCATTTTAGCTGAGGGACATTTGACACCCCTGCACAGGAACTTGTATTTGGTACGTCTCTCATATTTTAGATATCAGAGTATAAAGTGAAAGATTAATTTAAAGTGAGATTAATTTAAAAACCCAAACCTCTTCCTTATGATGATATTTCTCCTCTCAGACAGCCCTCTCAGGCATCTCAGGTACTTAAATATATTAGTGCATTTCATTTTACAATTACAGAAACACAGAGGACAATAGAAATTTCTGAAGTAACAATTTGGCATGCACTCATACTTTCTAATTTGTTTAGCAAGCATCATGTAAAATCTCAGGTTCGAAATGACAGAACAGAAGAGGTTAAGATAATATTTAAGATGATTATGTGTGTTTATCATGCATTCATGATAACATGTACCTCTCGCTGATGGAGGTTCCGATTTTTCAGGAACAGCTACAGGTGCTTTCTCCTCTGGGACAGCCTTTTCAGGCATTGCAGGCTCTTTAAAGATATTAGTATATTTTAGTTATGTATATTAATCTTTAAAACAAGCAGTGAAACATAATATAATCAAGAGAAGGAAAAGAGATCCTATTCATAACAGATACCTTTAGACCGTGGAGTTGCTCTTTTTTTCGGTTTAGCAAGACTCTCTTGTTTTTCGGCCAGCTTGGCTTGGGGTGGTTCCTCAGGTGCCAAAACAGGCTCCGGTTCTTTAGATGCAACTTGAGGCTTTGTTTTTTGAAGTGCTGTAGTAGGCTCTAGTTTTTGGGGGGCTGAAATTCGTTCTGGTTCCCCAGGCACAATGACAGGTTCTGTTTTGCAGGGTGCCACAACAGGCTTTGATTTTCTGGACACTGGAGCAGGCCTTGATTTTTGGAAATCTTCAGCAAACTCTGCTTCTTCAGGTTCTACAAGCAGCTCTGTTTTTTGGGGTGGCACAGGAGGTTTTGTTTTTGGGGGCAGCACAACATGCTCAGATTTTTGGATTGATTCATCAGTCTCTGACTCCTCAAGTACCACAATGATCTCATGTTCCTCAGTGGCCATGAATGGCTCTGGTTTTTGGCATTCTACAACCAGCTTTTGTTTTGAGGTTGTCACACCATGCCTCAGCTTTTGGGCTGGGACATCAAGCTTGGGTTCCTCAGGTACCACAATAAACTCTGGTTTCTCAGGCAATTCAACATACTCTGTTTTGTGAGGTTCCACAACAGGCTTTTGTTCCGGGGGCATCACACCATGCTTTAGCTTTTGGGCTGGAACATCAAGCTTGGGTTCCCCAGGTACCAGAATAAACTCTGGTTTCTCAGGCACTACAACATACTCTGTTTTTTTGGGTTCCACAACAGATTCTGGTTTTTGAAGTGCCAAAACAGTCTCGGGTTCCTCAGATGCCACAACAAGCTCTAGTTTTTGTGGTTCCAGAACAGGCTTTTGGGCCACTCTAGCAGGTTCTTGTTCTTCAGGTTCTACCTCTTGAGCCTTTGGTTTTGGTGGTCCAGCAATGGACTTTGATTTTCGGGAAACTGGAACAGGTAATTTCTTTTCTGGGAAAGGTGTCTTGGACACTTTATGTACACGAAAGATATTAGTTCTAAATTTAACAACTGGACGGACAATTATACCAAATTTAAGTGATTCATAAAACACAAATCCAAAATTTTAAAGAAAACATTAAAAAAAAAAGCAAGTATCAATCATTTATGTTCACCTTTTCAAGGATGAATATTCTCTCTTTTCTTTCAAATGTATAGCGCCCCCCCAGCCTCATGCCCCCATATGCATGTGTACACATACACTGGTAGTATAACTTATAGCTTAAGTAAATTCTGTGACAGTTATAAACAGAATGGACAGGACAAAAGATATTAATAACATTGCAGGTAATAACTTGAAGATCCTTTCAAGAATTAGCAGTGATGGCATCTGGTTTTCCTTGGTGGAGCTTCTGGTATTTCAATTACATTGATATCTTCTGCTCTTAGCTACTAGAATGGGTATTTCCTTTTCTTCTATTATCACTTTAAAGATATTAGTTGTGGTTGAACTCAAGTGGGTAGAATAGTAAGAATATCCAAAATAGTAAGAGGAATTGAAATATAGAATACAGGCAATTCAGACATCTAAGATTTGTCACTATTCTTCAAACGGATGCACGTATGTCTCTTTCACACACATATGCAGATACATAGAACACATAATTTAGAACCTCAGAAAACAGAAGGCCTAGAAAATCACAGTGTTAAAGAAAAGAGGAAAAACATTACTTTTGTTATTTTATTAGTGTTGAGATTTACCTGTCTCTGGTAGAGGTTCTGGTTCTTCAGGTGCAGCCTCTGGTTCTGTTTCTTTAGGCACAATCTCAGGTTCTGGCATTTTAGGCACAGGTATTTTCTTTTCTGGAGCAACTCTCTTCGGTACCTCAGGTTCTTTAAAGATATTTATTGGTTTTACTCTCAGAAATTTGAAGAATAATAATTAAAAAGGTGACAATAGCTCCAAGGTATTATCAAACAACAAAAAAAAACCCCAACCCAAAACCAAACCCAGCTTGATGAACACCATTTATAAACATTGTTGCTTACTGGGAGCTATTCACAAGTGAAGAAGACAACACAATCACCTGTAACATTTATAAATACAAAAAGAAGAGGATAACACAAACTTTCTAAATCAAAAACTTTTTTAAACTTTCTAAATCAAAATTTCTGTGCAATTTTAACAGTATTGAATGTGTACCTTTAGGTGGTGGAGGTTCTGGTTTTTTAGGAACTTCTATGTGTACTTTTTCTTCTGAAACCACTTTCTTGGGTTTCTCAGGCACTTTAAAGAAAGTAATTAATTTTATTTTTATGATATTCGGACATATGTCTGCGTCATTAAGACACTAGTTAAAAAAACAACACAGGGACATCAAAAGCATCAGTGTTTTTGGATGTGAATATTATTTTCTTTTTTTGCCTACAGAAAATTCTCAAAGATGTCTGACTGTAGTACAAATGCAAAAACTACAATTTAACAAAAATATTTTATGGAATATTTATAGTAAAAGTAAATTACCAATATATTAAAATGTTACCCTAGACAATTAAGGGTTTCTATTTTATTAATTGTGTACAGAAGTTACCTTTAGTTGGTGGAGGTTCTGGTTTCTTTGGTACTTTAACTGAAACCTCTTCTTGGACCACTTTCTTTGGTACCTCAGGCACTTGAAAAATATTAATAACTTTTACTATAAGAATTTAATTAACAACAGTAAAGCATAACATCAGAACAGTATTAGTGAGAACACTAATTACCAAGAACTATTTTTTTCACACAACACATTTTTTCACTTGAAAAAACTTTGACAGTAGAAGAAAATTCTAACAGACATTTTGGTTTCTGTCTTCTATAGTGTTAAAATAGTATGAGTGATGGTTTTGATTTGGTTAATTTTGTCATAATGACAAGTACCTTTAGCTGGTGGAACTGCTGGTTTTTTAGGCTCTGCAACTGGTGTTTTCTCATCTGGGACTTTCTTGGGCACTTCTGGCACTTTAAAATTAATAATTATGTTAAAACTAAGAATTTAAAGAAATGTAAAAAACATTAAAGTAGAAAAAGAAACAAACGGAAGTACACCAGGCAACATCAACTAAACATAATACACTTTACCAAATACGCTTTTTGTTCTCAATCTTGATTGAGATTCATTTGAGAGTAGTAAAGAGGCTTCCAGAAATTAAATTAAAAAATCACAGTTTATAAGATAGAAAAATGAGGAAATAGTATCAAAAAGGTTTCATCAGTGAAATTAAGACAAATTATTGCCATGGTTTTACTAATGACAGTTACCTCTAGCTGGTGGTACTTCTGGTTTTTTAGGCACAGCAACTTTGATTTTCTCTTCTACAACTACTTCCTTGGGTGCTTCAGGCACTTTAAGGAAAGAGATTATTTTCAGTTATTATATGGAATTTTACAGTTATGTTCAAAACTTTTCAGTAGAAATTGCAAATCTGGGAGTTCCTTAATGGAGCCATTTGACATGTTTATTGACGTAAGGTACTTTTATGTCTTTGTAAAGTCTAAGGAAACACCTCAGAGTCTTTTGGTGTTTCCTCCCTTTCTATATTACATTATTTTTCCATTTTTTTCCACCACCTCCCAAATCCTCATTTGACTAAGGCTGCCATTGTCCATTCTGTATTCCTCACCATATTCTTCTGTGCGTGATGACTTCTTGGTATAAATTTTTTATGTATGCATGGAAATTTTTCTACTCTGTTAGGGATCTGTAACACTTAATCCATGCTTTGAAATTGTTTAACTCTATTTTGGGGCTAATTTTTCACTGTCAGTTGGGAATATTTCAGATCACAGAAGCTCAGTTTTCTGTTTAAGACTTCTGCTGTGGTTCTCGGTCTTATCTCTGCCCAGCCACATCAGTATTTCTAATACACTGTTACACTGATTACAGCCATGATTCAAACGGAAGAATTTTCAAAACAGTAACATATACAGAACTGTGGGCACAGAAAATAAAACTATTAGAACAACACAAACAAACAATCAAAACCTGAAACAGCACAATCTCGGCAGAGGTTTTTTGCTCTTCCAAATTTTAGTTATCTGTAGTGCAACATACCTTTAGCTGGTGGTGGTTCTGGTTTTCTAGGCACAGCAATGGGTACTTTCTCTTCTGGAATTTTCTTGGGCACCTCTGGCACTTTAAAAAAAACAACATTCATATTTTTTTTATATTTAAGGCATTTAAAAGATGTAAATTATTAAGGAGAGTCTCACAGGAAGCATATTAAAAAGAAACATAAGATCAGATGTAAAAAGAGGTATGTCATGCAGAACATGTTGTATACTATTACATACTTCTAGGTTTTGTTATAAAGGAGAAATAAAGGGTAATTTTTTATTTTACTGTAAATGCTACTGGCCCAAGAGAAAGAGAAAACTTCTCAGAGTCATCATTATTGACATATAAGCTTTAGCTGGTATTACTCTTGGCTTGTTAGGCATGACAAGATTCACTTTCTCTTCTGAGAGAGATTTCTTAGGTACCTTGGACACTTTAAAGATATTAGTGTACTTTTAAGAATTACAAAAAAAAAACAAACAAACAACATGCGATACAGAGAAACAAGCAGTATATAAGGACACAGACAACAGTTACATGTCCTGAAAAGCCTCCGTGGCTCTATGCCTCTGACAAGTAATAGTTTGAAGCTACTTTGCTGGAGATCTCTTGGCATGCGTTGATGACATGCCACACAAACTGCTAGTTCAGACAGACTTCTAAAATATCTGAATAAATTGTGACAACTGGTTTCTATGCCTCATGTTATTTGCATTCAAAATTAAATCAACTGACCCTTAAGTTTAACATGAGCAGTGTGAAACAGGAAGTGTATATACTTTTTGCTTGAGTACTAATAGAATTTCTGAGGCTGTTTACAGTATCTGTAAGCTCCCATGAAGATAATGTGTGTTATGTAAATCTCACTGTGTGTTGACTCAGCTAGAGTTTTCCTTATTTTTAGTCCCTTTGACTAGTTTCTGATACAATTTATGTGCCATTACAATGAATTACTCTTGGGTAGAACAAACAGACAAACTCAACCGATTTTTAGTGATTTAACTTCAACAAAACAAGGGACAAAAGAAACTTGAAGAAAAAGAAGGAAAAGATATGTTGACCTATACTTTTGTCTGTGGAGCTTCTGACTTTTTAGATAGAGGGACAGGTTTCTCTTCAGTAGTTATCTCGAGTACCTCAGGCAGTTGAAAGATATTTACTGATTTTAATTTTAATTTTGTGACTTAAAGACAAGAAACAGGAAAAGGGACATATACAACATAAATACCACAAATTTGGCACAAGTGGACCATGAACAATTAAATCAGAAATTATATAAGAAACAGAAAACACAATATCAGCAAAAGACCTCAGTTATATTAGGCTATCAAAGTACCTGTAGATGGTGGAGTTTCTGGTCTTTTAGGCACAGGAGTAGGTTCTGGTTTCTTAGGCACAGTCATAGAAACTTTTTCTTCTGGAACAACTTTCTTAACTACTGTTGGCACTTTAAAGATATTTGTTAATTTTAAGAATGTATATAGACTAGAAAGAGAAGTCATAAAAATCCCAAGTTTGTAATGTAAGTAGAGTACTAAAAGAATGACCACAAATATTAATTACATTGAACAAGAACTAAACCATGAACGTGAATAATTTAATTTTCCTGGAGTCCATGACTCTGCAAATTGGAGGAAGGGACAATGAAGAAGATATATACCTCTAGGTGATGGAGCCTCCTTTTTTCTATGAACAGTAGAAATTTCTTCTTCTGTGTGCATCTCCTCATAAACTTCATGTACTTGAAAGATATTAGTTTAAATACTTAAATTAACTTAGAATATCTTCAGAAAACGAGACAGTGTGAAAGATAAAGAACAAATACAATCAAATATTCTATTTTATATCTACTCTCAAAATTAGGATTCTTTCAAACGAGGGCAGAAAATAATCTCATATTCTACCCTGATCTGGCCTCTGTAGCTTGCCAGAAGAAACATGTGTGATATGTCCTAAGCTGAGCTATTACCTTGAGTGCAAAGAGATGGGCCCTGTTTATCTAAGCTCTGTGCCTTTTGAATAAAGCTCATTTTCCCCTTAAGAACAACTACAGGTGATATAATGTTTTTTAAATTAAATTTAGACTGTTGTAGCTAACTAAACTCTTGTTTATGGTAGACAGAATGTTCTCAAAATAACTAAAGTTTTATATATGAAAACTTTTTTTTTATCCTTCAATTCCTACTCAAAATTTCTTGTACCTTTAAGGTATGAAGCTTCTTCTTTAGGAAGAGTAAAACATATTTTTTTGGTACTTCAGGAACTTAAAAATATTGGTTTATTTAGAAATTTTAAATAGGGAATAAGTAGGACAGTTTTATAAAATAATAAAAAAAAAAATTCCAGATCAATATGAAAATACATGTTAGTAACCTGTGAATACAACCCTAAAACTTCACTTTCTGGAGATCAGTGTTTTTCTAACTTCTAATATTTACAGGTCTGAATTTGCACTTCTCTGCAAAGACTGTAGTTAGGTTAGGGTTTTTTTTCTTATCAAACAATCTTAGGAATTTTGGCAATGTAAAGGTTGGCGGTTTTTTTTTCAATTTCAAAGTTACCCATAAAACCAACGAAAAACCAATGCAATTAACTCAATATTATTTTTTAAAATTTATGGAGTTTTTCAGAACTGGAATTTTATTACAAAACTATGTTTCTCTGAAAGATTTTGTGGCTTTATATTTTATCCTGATTTGAAATCCTCCCTTAATCTTGATTTTATTTAAGCCCCTGACAAGGCTGCAAAGAGTGCTTCTGCAAACAATCTTCTGACACAACGTTTTAGATTTTTTTTTTTAATACATTGTCAGAGAAAGTATTTTGCAAACTAGAACATGATACCAAAAAACCCCCACAAAAAAACCCAAAACCACCACACACACCGACGATATAATATGAAATATATTTAATGGCACACCCACCCCCCCCCCCCCCCCCCAAAAAAAAGAAAAAGGCTAATCCCTGGCCCTGCTATGGATTTCCTGTCTAGTATTATGTTTTTAATCTCTGATCTCCCTGTATGTATGCTCTCTCTCTAAGAAAAAATAAAGAAACAGACAAAAGTTACTGCTACAAGAAGAGATCAAGTGGAAGAAAACAGGTTATATAGCACCTGGTCATGTTGTTTAAGAAAAACAAAGATGTTGGGCTTCTCGGTTGGTACCTCACTTTTGAAAGAGGCTAGAGAAAACACATTTGGAGGCCATGTACCTTTAGCTGGAGGAGCTTCTTCTGCAGGTACAGCAGCAGGTATTTTCTTCAGTGGGACAGTTTTCTTTGTCACTGCAGGTGCTTCAAAGGTATTACATTTTTTAAAGAACATTATAATATACAAAATGTAAGTAACAAAGAAGCAGTGACAGACAGATAACATCCAAGGAAACATTAAAATGAATACATTAAATAACAGATTAGCACAGGGATGGAATGATGAAGATGAATAACTAATTTCTAGGGAACATATTGCTTTATAGATTGCTTGAATAGTTGGTGTACCTTTAGCTGCTGGAGCTTCTGGTTCACTAGGGATAATAACAGAGACTTTTTCTTCTGTTGGAACTTCTCCATAAACTTCAGGCTCTTTAAAGATATTAGTTTATTTTACATATTTTAATATTATTTTCAAGACAAGATTAGAAAGACAAGTTATAATGCAAAAATGCAGACATATATATGGACAAAGAGCTGTTTGAACATAAATTGTTTAAATATCTTGTTTCAGCCTGTTCATTTACCTAGTATTGCTAGAAACGGCCATTTGCAATTAGTAGAATACATTTTATTTTCTAGTTCTGCATATCAAATAGTTCATTCCAGATGAGGACAAGTGAAGTTCAATTACAATTTCTATCTCTACCCCAGCTCAAAAATTAATTAAGTCTGACTCAGAATAGCTCTTAAACCACTGTCTACCTAAGTTCATTTCTTTGGTCCAGTGTGGCTAAACTGCTTTCCTGAGCGAAAAACTTAGTTTCTCTCTTATTTATGTTTCTTTCTCCCATTAATATAGGAAAAAACAAAATTTAAAAAATACTAAGCTATAACGAAATTTGGGGGGACAGAGGGTCTCAAAGACATGGACAGAAGTTTTACATAATTAAAAAAACCCATATTTTACAGAACAATCTAGAATATGAATTGATACATTCTCTGCAATTTACTGCTTAGTAGATGCATCACTGATGTACCTTCATACAAAGGAGGCTCCTCTTCTCTAGGAATAACGGTGGGTACTTTCTCCTCAAGGACAGCTTTCTTATGAAACTCAGGAACTTCAAAGACATTAGCTTTCTTTTAGTAACCTCAAAATAATTTTCAACTTTTAAAATCCCAAACAATAAGAAACCCAGAAAACCAAGTTCTTTTGAGGTCCCAAATATTGTGCCTTTTCAAGAATGTAATATTATATAGTTCTAGAACTGTCTTGTTGGAAAAAAAAACTTACGCAAGGAAATCTGTGCTCAAAGAGCATAAACTATTTGCTTTTCTCACTGTGTTGTCCTGCTTTTCCTTCTGATATATGTAACATCTTTAATGATTTTAACTTGTTAGCTCTTGCCCTATTACTTCACCACCAATGTCATGACCACGGTATTGGCTTAAAAACCCCAGTTTAAACTAATTTCACAACTATATTACAAATATAAAAGCCCTGAAGATTTACATACGGGTAGCATAAGCAGTGATACCTCCTCAGCATGTTTTCATTCATAAGTCAATCTATGTCCTGTTTAGCACATCTATAGCACATATCTGAAATGTTAGCCTCAGTTTTCAGTTTCTCACAGGGGGCTGAATCTGCACTTAAGAGACTAGGTACTGTTGTTATAGTTTAAAGAACATGAGGATAATGTTAGACGATGTTAGTTGGGAAAAATAACACAAATATTTCTCTTCCATAAAATCTCATATCAAAGGTTCCTTTACCTTCTATTGGTGGAACTTTAATTTCAGGTGTATGTGTAGGTTTCTTCTCTTCAGGGACGGTTCTTTTGAGAACAGCTGACCCTTTAAGATATAGTTTACTTTTAGGGCTTTCAAAGTTATTTGGAAGAAGTTAGAAAGAAGAAGAGTGAATCTAACAAGGACGATTCATGAAACAACACAAGTGTAAATGTTTCCTGAAAGAACATCTATATTAATTTTAAAGATTAAAGACAGAAGAATAACATTTTAAAATATTTTTGGAAGATGGCTGTAGATTTAGATGGCGTAATCCCCTTCCTTTTCAGAAGAACTTTCTGAAATACTTTCATAAGTAGCTTAAGACAGAACACAAATTTTTTAAAGTGACTCATATTTTTTCTACAAATTACTTGAACCAACACAGAAAAGAAAAGACTCAGTCACAAACAGTTGAAAATAACACTGTGCGGACATGAAACATGCACATTTTTCTCAACAAATAATAAGGACCAAAGGCTGAAATAAGAGTTCAGGATTCATGAAGACAATACAGAGAAAGTATACCACAATACAGAGAAAGTATACCTTTAGCTGGTGGAGCAATTTCCTTTTTAGGAACAGCAGCAGGTGGTACTTTTTCTTTTGGAACAGGTTTCTTCAGCACTGATGGCACTTTAAAGACATTGGTGTTTTTTAAGAACATTTGCAGTGTGAATATTATGTAAGCATTGAAGTTAAAAAAAGCGCAAACAATGCAAATACTCAGAAAATTTAGAAAAATATAAAATACAGTCTCAGTTTTTGACGAGTTTTTTTGATGAACCTTGCAGGCTATCTATCTGGACTATTTTGCTTGGATTCACATAACTAGAGTCCTCACTATTCACTGAAAGAAAAGCACTGCTCATTGGGTGAATTTTTGACTGAGAGAAACCTTAACAATCAGGTTTCATGAACTATCAGCTCTAATTAATATGGTACAGAGCTCCATTCTAGTAGAGAAACTCTACTAGCATCCACTGACAACTGCCATTCATGACACATATTTTTGAGGAGTCTGATACAGAGAACACCTATTAATATTATATGCACTCCGGCACATCATTGGGTTGAAGAAAGTCCTAGTTTTTGAGGATTCTGTAGGAAACTAGAATTTCTCTGACATGGCACTATAGCTTAACAGACTTTTATTAGTTTATTCATCTGTTTTTTTTTTTTTTTTCAATGATTACCTATAAAATGTCAATAATATTGTGATTGCAAAAAATAAATCTTTAAGGTCCTTCCTGCACTTCTTTGTTCTCAGAAAGTAATTTGACTCAGTTTAGATTGGTGAAAGAAATATTATTTTTTAGATCCCTGTGTAATTGACTACACTGTGAAAGAAATTTAAGGGTCTAGCAGTTGAATCAGAATAGATAAATTACTGGATTTATGAAATTAGAAACTCAGGCAGAAGGCTGTGTTTTTTAATTTATCTAATAGCTGATGTACCTTTAGCTGGTGGAATTGCTTTTTTAGGAACAGGAACAGGAGCAGGGACTTTTTCTTCTGGCAGAGGTCTTTTAGGCAACTCGGGCACTTTAAAAAAATATTTCATTATGAATATTAAGGGTTTTTTAATGAGAAATTACAACAGATACAAAGACAGCAAGAGGAACAATCACTCATTTGTAGAGGCACCATCTCGTCCTTTATGTAGAGACAAGCGAACAGCCACTTATCTCAGGGTTCTTGAGCAGTGAAAGCTAGTGGATATCAGCATACGTCTTTCTGGTAGATTTTAGATGCACTTACTCTTTGGCATGAGGAATCCTATGATCATAAATGTAAATTATGAGAGGGAACGTCCTACAAAAGTTAATATCTCTGTAACTCAGAAGCTATACGGGGCAAAAGAAACAAATACTGACAGATAAAAATATTTAATTCAAGCTGAAGCTGAACTGCATTAGAAAATGATAATTTACTTTGCTTGTGTCATATCTACACTAGCTCACTCTTGGGAAGTCATATGGGCAATCCTACCATTCCACTCTGAAGGGAAGAGTAGGAGAGAAACAGTCTTTGAATGAATTTATCATTACCAGCAACAGACACACACTACAAATGGGGAAAAATATAAATAAAAACCCAAAGAGGGGTTAAGCAGTAGCTGGGAACTCAAACAACTATAAGAATAAAGAAATAATGTCTTGATGTACCTATAGCTGGTTGGATTTCATAAGCCTCCTCATATACCTCTTCATATTTCTCATAGGTCTCTTCTTTCTCTTTAAACTCATACTTTTCATAAACATCTTTCTCCTCAGCCTCCTCTTCATATTCCTGTTGCTGAATCTCCTTATATTTCTCAGGTTCTTCAGGTTCCTCATATGCCTCAATTTCTTCAGTTTCCTGAACCTCCTCAAACTCTTCAATACTTTCATATGTCTCATACTTCTCATACTCCTCATATGTATACTCATACTTCTTCACCGCAGGAGCAGGAGCCGAGACTTTTTCTTTCCGGACAAGTTTCTTGGATACTTCAGGGACTTTAGAAACAGTGTTATTGTTACTATGTTACAAATATTTCCTCCTCCTCCCCACAGGTAGTCAAGATGATCCACATAAAACAGAAAATGTACATAATAACCACAAGAATTTCTTACATTATAATATAAGAACATGGTACTGAAACAGTGTATATATAGTAAAAGATTTTAGGAATGAGAAGGAAAACCAAATCTTTGAGAGAAATAAAAAGAAATATATCTGTACCTTTAGTTGGTGTTGGTTCCCTGGGTTTGGGCACAACAGCTGGCACTTTCTCTTCTGCAATAGCTCTTTTATGCACCTCAGGGACTTTAAAGATATGGATTTGTTTCAGGAATTTAAAGAACATGTCTTAAAGCAGTGTAAGTAAAAAAGCACAAGAAACATAGCCTTACAGTTCTACAATGTGAACTTTGGTAATGAAGAGTTTTAACATAAATTCAAGCAGAAATCTCATACAACAAAGACAAAATTTAGACACAAGAAGGTCAAGAGTACTTTTAGCATAAATATTACTTTTAATCAGAAGTACATATACCTTTTGCAGCTGGAACCTTTACTTTTTCAGAGGGGGCAACAGGCACCTTCTCTTCAGGAGCAACCTTCTTAGGCACCTTGGGTACTTTAAAGATAGGACACAACTTTAGTGTTCTTTTGCACAATTTTTAAACAGACACAAATTCAGAAGCTTACAAACAGCAGAACAGAAACTGGCAAACAAACAAACAGTATACTGACAAATATAATACAACACAGACATAGAAAATGTCCCTTGTTAAACTCAACTTGCATGAAGAATGTTATCTATTAATGATAACAGCATTTACAAACTGAAGTACCTTTGGCTGGTGGAGCTGGCACCTTTTTAGGAACAGGTTCTTTCTCTTCAGGGAGGGGTTTCTTAGGCACCTCAGGAACTTTAAAGATATTATTTTAAGAATGTCATCCACCAGGAATATGAAGAAGACAACAGAAAACATATACAAACAGACGTAACGAAAAAGAACTGATCTGTAGAATATTTTAAATGTTTTAAAGATGAAACAGAAATAAAACCAAAAGACACTTTATATCCATAGGCAGATTCTTGAAAAAGTCAAATAATTTCAGAGCATGTAATTCACTAAGAATTTGACAGGCACCCTGAGACTTCAATACAGAAGGACAGCAGGGACACAAAGCTGACATAAATAGCAAACAAAGTAAAACAAATAGAGGCACTGAATGAGAGTAACAACAAATTTTTTTCCTAGGTATTAATTTATGTACCTTTTGCTGGAGGAAGCTCACGTTTCTCAGGGGTAGGTACAGATATTTTTTCTTTTGGGACAGGTTTCATAAGAATCTCCGGCTCTTTAAAGATATTATTTTGCAAACACATTTGAAAATTACTTTCGGAGCATTAAAAACATGAAAAAAACACGAAACAAGAACACACAAGCTCCCCCAAAAGATCATTAAGATTTATATACAACTTAGAAGAAGAAAGAAAGATGAATTTTAATTAATCCAAAAGATCTCATGAGCAATGAGCAAGAAAAGGTTATGTACCTTTTGCTGGAATAGTTTCCTCCCCTTCTTCCTCAGGAACAAAAATGGGAACCTTTTCTTCAGGTACAATTTTCTTTGCCACCTCAGGCACTTCAAAGATATTATTTTAAGAACTTTACTTTCACAACATCACAAAGAAATATTCATCACATAAAACACAAGGACACCAAATTTAAAGTAACAACAGCAATAAAAATAAGGGAAATTCTATTAGCTATTTTTCATGCCCTGTAAACAGCAAAGTACAATTTGAGTTGTAAGGATTATTATGAGAATTAGCTCTTTTGCCAGTTCTTAATTATGTATCATCATTGCCAATGGAAAATATTAACAAGATATGCTACAAACAGGAGGTTGTAGAAGATTATTACCATCTAATTTTTCACATAGAAACTTCTTCTGTATGCTTTTCAATTTTTTTCTAAAACTCTCAGGTGTTGAGGTAGAATTTGCTCACCACTAAAGGGTGGCGTCTGCAATAGTCTGCCTCCACTTTGAATTTCACATTCAAGGTAAAGGCTCATAATATATTATTCTAGGTATTTTGTTTAAACAAAATTTAAATTAATTCAATCATCAGATCTGAATAATGATATCACAATGGATTATTTCATTCACAGCAATCACTCAAAGTGGAAAACAAGCAGGTCATTCAAGGTCTGACAGCCCGCTGCAGTCAATAAGAAAGACAATCAAACCCTGCTTGAGACCTAGCACTGTACACTGCAGGGGAGCAGCAGGGTGCTAGAACCAAAGATCTGACTTTACATGAGTATACACTAATTTTTAAAATGTGGTTCAACTGAAATAGGAAAATGTAAGGGAGAGGAATTATCTGCATAGTCCACAATGCAATGTACCTTTAGCTGGTGGAATTTTCTTTACTTTGGGAACTGCAACAGGTACTTTTTCTTCTGGGACAGCTCTCTTGGGCACTTCTGGCACTTTAAAGATATTGTTTTGATAAGAAATTCTCTATTACTTTTAGACCATGAAAACCGCAAAACTACTAAAGCCACAGACGAAAGTCACAAAGACCAATAAGATGAAGAAAACTCCCCTCAGAAGTATAATTAAGGTTTACAACCAGTATAAAACGATCACTACAGATTAAGATCTTTGAGGGAACTGAACCAAGGTCTCTGATCATTTTCAAGAAAGAATGGTGTACCTTTTGCTGGTATCTCTGGAACAGCTTCCCATTCCTCTTCTTCTTCATGAACAAAAATAGGTACCTCTTCAGGGGGAGGTCTTGGCATTTCTGGCACTTCAAAGATAGTATTTAATTGTTGAAAACTTAGACTAAATTACAGAAACTGAGAGACAACTTACACAAAAGCTGAAGACTATGAATTAGCAAGTACATTTGTCACAAAATGATACAATGCTTCAGTTAAATTCTAACAATAAGCGTACAGAAACGACAAGAAACATCATCCACATGGTCAGTTATAAGAAGAGATACCTTTGCCTGGTGGACGTTCTGGCTTTTTATGTACAGGGACAGGTACTTTCTTTTCTGGAACTTTCTTGGGCACTTCAGGCACTTTAAAGACATTTTTGTTTAAAAGAGGTTAATTTTCAGTGCAACATGAACCAGTAAAATGATAACTGTATAACTAATACTAAGCTAAATACACAAACGTGGTAAAATTTAATTGGGTATGAAAGATAACACTGATTTTATCCACAGATTTATACACAGATGTAAACTGACAAGTATTACAAACTGACATGGTAAGGCTAAGAGGAAAGTCTGGCTGTATATTTTTTTATCTTTTGGAGCATCTGCTTTTGAAACAACAAATTATTTTAAATAATTTAGATATGTAAGATCCAAAATACATAGACAAACAAGAAACAAACATAGACATTTTCAAAGCTTAGAATAAGCATAACACCCATGAGTAACAGAAATGGCCACAATACAGTGTTCTGATGTAACATAGGTCAATGAGCACAAACACATTAGCAAGAGGAAGGGGATTGTTATTTTCTGTCTTCTAAAGCTGAAGAAACTAAACTAGAACCAGAAACTCATGTACCTTTGGCTGGTGGAGGTTCTTCCACTTTTTTAGGCACTGGGACATGTACCTTCTCTTCTGGCACAGGTTTCTTTGTTACCTCAGGAACTTTAAAGACATTATTGTAGTTTAAGAATTTCATTTTTTGAACCATAAGGTAAAGAACAATTGTATGAATCAATAAAGTGGAGTCACAAAGAAGAACTATCAAGAATAAAAAACTCTCTTCACTCTGAATTACATTAAAGAGGAAAGGTGAACAAAGAATGATTTTTAAATATTTTTTTTAACACATCCCGTCAAGAGCTGATATACCTTTGGCTGGTGGAATTTCCTTCTTTTTTGGTACAGGAACAGGAAACTTCTCTTCTGCCACATGTTTCTTTGGCACTTCTGGAACTTAGTAAGATATTATTGTAAGTTGAGCTGACCATAGGAATCTAAAACATCATGACATACAAGCCAGTGACTAAACAATTGAACACAAACACAGAGAACCACAATACTTAAAAGCAATAACCCACTAGCTGTCCTAGTATTTTAACAAAAGTGAGGGTTTAAATGAAGCCAGAAGACCTTTCTGATCACAGCTAATTACAAATTCATATACCTTTAGATGGAGGAGCTTCCTTCTTCGGCACTTGGACTTTCTTTTCCGGTACAGGTTTCTTTGGCACCTCAGGCACTTCAAAAACATTATTTTGGTTAAAAAATAATCCACAAGTTATTCAACACAGAAATGAAACGAAAAAGACAGAAGCACAGACATTTCATATGAAGAAATCTTCCAGAAAGAACAGGAAAAAAAAAATTATCAAGACAGACCTCTGAAAAATGCCATGAATTACATATTCAGAGGATGTCTGCCAACATAAAGAGATGATATATACCTTTTGGTGGAGGAGCTTCTTTTTTCTTCAGGATAGGTATTTTTTCCTCTGGAACAGGCTTCTTGGGAACCTCAGGCACTTGAAAGATATCATTAATATTTGAGGTGTTTACCTCTAAAGCAAGAAAGCAGCACAAATACACACCCAAACCATACAGCTATGTTTTACCATGGTTTGATCACTAAGACAAAATAAAATAGCTAACAGATTGATTATATTAACTGTTATTATGTCCATGGTCCCTGCTCAGCCACTGAGAGTATCAAGAAAAATGGTTTTAAATTCAAGGGTTTATTTGCTAATCAAAAGATTGAGTTAAGATGGAGTTTGACTTTTTAGAACCAGATATTAAAGAAGATTAAGTAGTGTTATGGTGAGAAAACTTACAAAAATACAATTTTATTTTTTCCTCCAATTTCTGGATGTTTATTATAAATGTTGTAATAAAGAACTATTTAATTGCTGTATTAGGTATTTAGTAGTTTTACTACTTTTCCTTATTTTCCCCCAGAGCTATGATCCTAATGCTTCTCAAGCTTGTAATTGTTTGCATCTGATCATGTTGAATATGCCAATCTTGTATATGTATAGACTATATATTGCTAATTACATTTTCCTCCTCAGAAATTTCCAAGTGCTTTCTACATTAAAGAGCAATCATATCAAGTTTATGAATTGATTTACTTCAAACTCAACACTGTGGACTCATTATAAGTACCTAGCAGTTTATGCCACATTTATTTTTGCGTAATGGCAATGTTTATGAGCAGTTTACTTGGTGGAAAAAAAAAAATCCTGACTCTGCTGAAATCAACAGAATTTCCCTTCAATTGCAGTGAGACAAAGGTTTCAACTAAAATATATCTTAATATTTATTGTGCTCCAGAACCCAGAAATATCCATACAAGTTTTACAATGACAAGAGAGTAATCCCACTGTCTCTGAGCATACTGAAGAAATTTTGGAGCACATATGAATTAAATCTAATTCCTGTGGTGGAGTCAAAGCAAATTCTAGCTAACTCTAATCTTTCTATTCATGTGAAAGAGGAATGAACATGAATGACATGGAACATTTACATTTATAGAGGTAGTAGTAAAGGATAGACATACAGCCATCACACATTTTCGACACTATATAGTGATCATCTTGAAAAAAAGGCACAGTGTAAAGCACACTGGAACATATTAAAACAAAACTTTGGTACTTAACAGAATGAAGAGGTACTACTTTTTTTCACACAACTCCTAAAATTAAAGCATACCTCTAACTGGGGGGGGAGCCTCCTCTTCATATTGGGGAATTTCTGACTCTTCCTCCCCATATTCAGGAACTTCCTCTTCATAATAAGCAGCTGCTTCTTCATAATGGCTGACTTCTTCCTCTTCATATTGAGGAACTTCATAATGAGGAACTTCTTCCTCATAGTGACTGACTTCTTCGTAGTGGTGAACTTCCTCCTTGTAATGGATTACTTCCTTCTCATATCTGGCAGTTTCCTCCTCTTCGTATTTTGGTATCTCTTCTTCCTCTTCATATTGAGGAACTTCAACATATACTTTTTCTTTTTGGACAACTGTCTTGCGTACTTCAGGCACTTAAAAAGATATCAAGTAAAAGAATCTTAACATTTAGCACATAGATCTTACTAATAATAATGATCAGAAGTCATTGTCAAATGAGAATTAAACTGAAGGAAGAACATTCCATAGAAAACAAGTCAGTATTCGCTGTACATGGAACATACAAGACACAAAAAACATTTATAACATATTTTGATACTCTATCCAGTATACCTTTGGCTGGTGGTCTTGCCATTTTTTTAGGAGGATAAATTGGTATTCTCTCTTCAATGATAGCCCTCTCTGGTACATCAGGCACTTAAAAGATACAGTACATTTACATTTAAGAATTTTTAAAATTGTTGGTTAAAAGCAAAAAATATTCTCGGCAAGAACACAAAAAAGATATCTTACAAACACTTGGCTGATATGTACAAGACACATGCTTATTGACACTGGACATGTAATTATGGAAGCCATTAGGCTGCTGTTCAATTAAGTAACAACAAATATTCCAAGATCGCAGTATAAGCAACTGATATGATTCCTGTTTCATACACTGCTGCCATCAGTGATGTTAAGTTTGTTAATGGGCGGAGCTCAAAATCCAAATTCAACCAATTTCAAAATCACTAAATCCCTCTGTCTTCTGTGCAGCCCCTCTCCACTGCAGTGACACTTCGCACTACCTCAGTAATATATCAAGATCCCTCAATCACTGTTAACAAAAGATTTGCATAGGAAACTCTAGGTGAAGGTGAGGGGACACATAGAGAAAACCTTTGTGAGTGACTGACAATGGATAAGAGCTCTGGTCTAATTAAAGGCAAAAAAATTGCTCAGTGAGGAAGGTATTTTTGTTTTCTTTCGATTGGTTTACAAAGTGGTTTGTTTGTTCCAGCATGGGAAGGAGCCATTCCCTACAAGAGCAGGAAAACTACCGAAAGATTAAGGTGTGAATATGTTGAATTTTTTTTTCAGAAGGAAAGAATGTATGCTATGATTAAGTAGTATATTCTCTTTCTTAGAACATCAGTGCATGGGTCTTGTCTTCTGAGGCAGGTGTGGAGTAATTTTTGACCAATATAGTTGGAAACTGTACAGAAAATTACCCTGGCATTTAAATGTCTGGGAGACTACTAGACCTGCCAACTTAGAGAATATTTTTGGCATTTTCTTAACAGATTGGAGATTTTTTTTATCTTTTAAAGAGATGGATTTGAGAATTTCTACATGCTTTATTCATGACAAGCCACAGTGAGCATAGATGAGCGGCTGCCACAAGTCTTGATACTTGCTGATTGAGTGTTATTTTTGGGTCAGTGTGAAGACTGACCATCTCTTTAAATATTTTCTGGCAGACCCCTGCTTGATAATTAATTGTAGGTGCTAGGTACTTCTGCATTTGGAATCTTAATCTAAAACTGATTGAAGCTGGTAACTTTGGTTGATTTGATAACTGAAACCATATTGTGCCTGAGTGCCTTTGCCAGGAAGCTCAGATTCCTTTGGATTATTTTGTACTAGCTACCACACCTTTATTTGTTATCACATGGGAGAACTGTTGCATTTAATCTCCTTCTGCTTTGACCCTTTTTTTCGCAGACCAGCTGGCATATTACCCTCACCTTATAGAAAGCCAGTCAAAGATTCTTTTCCCTCCTTCTCTTTGTACTCATGCATGTCTCCCATCATTCTCAAAAAGAGAGACTAAATAGATTATTTTACTTATTTATCAACAGCAGCAGATCTGAAAGTAGTAACTATGAGGCATCTTGTGGCTTGTTTTTCACAAATCAATAGATTTCCTCCGGAAGTGATAGAGCAATGAATTCTTTCAGAGCCATGGACTTTGTTCAAAGCCGTTGTACTGGCAGGTCCAATAAATGGGATTGGGCCATGTCTCAGCCAGGCAGGCAACAGCAGAGGTAAAGGTTTATTTTTTTTGGCCTTCAGATTTAGCTAACTAATTGTCTCAAAACAGGAAAAGACAAGCTTTCTTTTCAGAAGAGGAAAGA